AGTGTCAACTGAACTCTTCAAATGTACTCAGAAACAATCCCACTCAGAGAGTAAGTTCTACCTCCACTGGAAGGGAGGGAGAATTATTAAAGCCAAATGTTACTTGCTTTTCACTTCTGGCCCCAGTTCAGACAAGGACTAATTGGTTAGGTAGGTTTGTTCTTTCACTGACCAGAGGAAAAGATTGTTCTGTGTTTCCAGTCCTCTGGTGAGGGACATTCCTTTGTTCCCTGGAGGGGGAGAGGCCATTCCCCAAGGCTTTGAACCTTGTCAACAGTTTCATAAACAGTTGGACGTTCATCCAGTTCTGAGGGTTTATTGACGAGCCATTCCAGAGAACAGAGGGATGGAGCCACAGACTCTGTGCTGCAGTGGGACAAGTGAAATGCTCTCATTGTCTATATAGAGTTTTGAAAACTGAAATGGAGAATATTGTCTTTCTAACCAAACAATGGGAGGAGCTTCATTGACTGTATAAGATTCATCTGGGAAAGAGCTTTCTGAGGAGAGCCGTGGAGTGTGTCCAGATAAGCGATTAGCATAGAGGATGCCATCCCAGAAATCTCAACCAGATGCTGTATTCTCAGGAATGCATAAGGCACTTCCCCACTAAACAGAAGAATATGGGGAGAATATGATGTGTGTATGATATACTACATGTAAAAGCTCCCAGTTGAGATGGCTAAGGTAAGTCTTACAGTGTTTCTATTGTATTTAACAGTCCCGGTAGTGTAGAGCCTCTCCCTGAGCTCAGTGTGGGTATCTTCTTTTAGATGAATCCCTCTCTGGAAACTCTTCCATGATCTGCAGGTAGATTAAGCCAGAATTGAAATGTCTTCTTTACCAAAGCTTATCCAGATGTTTAATGTTCTCAGCTTAAGGAAAGCTTGCAAGTTGTCAGAAGGAGGCTCTGAGGTAGAAGTAAACAAAATCTTGTATAGTGCTTCATTTTGGTAAGTCAACACCCATTACTCTCAGCTTTTTCATTGCAATCTTTAAGAACTATGGCCCCCATATTAGAAAGGGAAGAATAGAAATTATTATGACTTCTAAACAAATGTTTGGCAGCCAAGCAGATCCAGTGCCTCTTTTGCTTAGCTAAAATACTAGAGAAGGATGTAAAGAATCCCAGGAATAAAGTGAAATCCATCCTCTTGACTCTATCATTTCTCATCTGCTCCCTTTCTTCTAACATTCTATTCACACTTTCATTTTGTTCATGTTTTGCTTTAATATTAGGAAATGTGAGGTAGGTTATAAAGATTTCCACAAATATTTGAAAGTCTAGAAGCATTCAGGATCTCTCTGATTTTAATTTTTTTATCTATCATCTATCTAGCTATAATCTAGCTAGCTATTTTTCCACACTTTTTTTCTCACTATCTGACAAGTATTATATATTCATCTGAATACATATGTATATGTGCATATACAATTATGCATTTGCACGCACATATATTAATTTAGATGTACATGAGTTTTATCCTTCTTTCTCCTCACATGGGGAAGAAAGAGAAAAATCTTTGAGTTCAGGTATCAACAACTATGCTTTTATTCTTTCTTCAAATTGAATATGGTAGATACCTCCAAGTAGAAAGAATAGTAGGTTGTTCAGAAAAGACCTTATTGATTATTAAGATAAGACAAGTCATTCTGTAGATGGGGAAAATCATTTGTCCAGAAAGAAAGTGACATACACCATCACACAGTAAGTTAGTTGCAGAAATAGGACGAGAATTCAGATCTTATTTGAAGTTCATACACACACACACACATACCACACACACACACACACACTCACAATATAATTTGATTATTGGTGGGTTTATTAATGGGGTAGAAAAGTTACTATATTGTTTTTTATTCATTTTTCCCCTCTTTCAGAAGAATGGTTCCATGGAGAATAAATAAATCAATGGCTACACACATTTTTTAAAATAATTTTTTCAATAAGCTCATTTTTTTGGGGGGGCAGTTAATAGTAAGAGTAGAACATATGACAAACAATTCAGATGTGATTATTCCCTTTTTCAACAGACAAGGAAGATAGCATTGTCTTTGTTTATAGATTAAGATACTGAGATCCAGATCATTGGAATCCTAGATAATTATCCTCAATCTGAACTTGGGCAGGAATTCTTGTTTAATTAAACTAAAGTACGGGAATTTACTTTAGAAACATTAAATTTGGGGGGTTATGTTACATAATGGATTCCTTTCTTGTATGGGATATTAAAGATACATGGAAATCCCTTCTAACTCCAATTCTTTGATTCTGTGTAGACAGAAGCCCTGCTTCCAGCCTGTGGGAAACTTTTAGACCTGAATGCTGTCATCTAAATTGTTAACTATCCTGCCTGGCTCTGTATCATTCACAAATTTGTTTAACATGTCACCTCTGCCCTCATCAAAGTCATTGATAAGTATGAGAAATTATATTGGACATTCAGAGCCACATTACCAAATTTATCCTTTTGGAACTTCCACAAGATCCCGAGACTCAGAACATAATATTCATTAAATTGTTCTTCTATCTTGTGATTTTGGGGATAAGCTTGTTTGTTTTTGTGAATATAAACAAAGGCCCTTCCTTTTTTTGATCCATATTTACTTTTTTGGATACGTTCTTTCTCCTCTCTTTTGCCTTTCCAATACTGTTTTTTTTTTTATGAAGTGATGAATAAGTCTATGTCCTGAAATTGCCGAGTAATTATTTTTCACTATGTAGCTAGATCCACATGTTGTATTAGTCTGTACAAAGAAAGTACCTAACACAGCGATCAAAGAAGCATAGAATTTGAGCCCACAAAGGGATCTCAGATGCCTCCTAGTACAATCCATAAATGAATATGAATCCTGACTCCAATATCCCCCCAAAGAGATTACCTTTCTTCATAGCTCTTTAAGGACAACACAATTCTCTCAGATCTGTGTGTGATATATTGGACGTAAAAGCTCCCAGTTGAAATGGCTAAGGTACATTTTACAGTGTTTCCATTATATTTAACAGTCCTGGTAGTGTAGAGCCTCTCCCTGAGCTCAGTGTGGGTATCCTCTCTTAGCTGACTCCCTCTTTGGAAACTCTTCTATGATCTTCAGGTAGAGATGAAGCCAGAATAGAAATGTCTTCTTTACCAAAGCTTATTCAGACATTTAATATTCTCAGCCTAATAAATGTTTGCAAGTTGTCGAAAGGAGACTCTGAGGTAAAGGAAACCAAATCTTGTACAATGCTTCATTTTGGTAAGTCAACACCCATTACTCTCAGCTTTTTTATTGCAACCTTTAAGACCTATGGCCCCCATATTAGAAAGGGAACAAGAGAAATTATTACGACCTCTAAACAAATGTTTAGTTGCCAAGCAGATCCAATGACTCTTTTGCTTAGCTAAAATACTAGAGAAGGTTGTAAAGAATCCCAGGAGTAAAGTGACTACCTCATAAGGGGATGAAATCCTTCCTGTTGACTCTAACATTTCTTGTCTGCTCCCTTTCTCCCTAACATTCTATCGAGACTTCCATTTTGTTCATTTTTTGCTTTAATGTTAGGAAATGTGACGGAGGTTATAAAGATATCGACAAATATTTGAAAGTCTAGAAGCATTCAAGATTTCTCTGATTTTAATACTTTTTATGTATCATCTAGCTAGCTATTTTTCCACACATTTTTCTACCTGAAAAGTATTAGTCTGTACAAAGAAAGTACCTAATACAGCAATCAAAGAAGCATAGAATTTGAGCCCACAAAGGGATCTCTGATGCCTCCTAGTATAATCTATAAGTGAATATAAGTCCTGACTCCAACTTTCCCCAAAAGAGATTACCTTTCTTTGTAGCTAAGGACAACACAACTCTCACAGAACATCCCATGCCAGTTTTGAATTGTTTTCCTTGTTAGGAAGATTTTGTTAAATCAAACAGGAATCTTTCACTGAAACTTGAACCCTAAATTCTCCCAGTTCTATTTTGTGAGGCTTAGCAAAAAAGTTTGAACCCTTCTTATATAAGTCCAGAGACTTACAATCATAACAGGACCCTAGTTCTTGTGTGCTCTAGTCAAAACATTCTCAGTTCCTTCAACTATCTTCCTGTGGACTATAGCTGAGGCCACTGTTTTGGTGACCCTTCTGTGTTCATTCTCCAGTTTTCAACAGACTCCTTGAAATGTGTTTATTAGAAGTGAGCATAACCCTGCTGGTGTCTTCTGGATTTGTTCTCTAATAATGGAATTGCTGACAGTGTTATAAAATATGCATACATATCTATATACCATAAACACAAATGCATGCACATATATTTGAATTTCTCCCTTCCCACTGTTTTTTAAAACCTGTTGTGCAGATTAACTTTTCCACTTGTGGTGAATACATAACTTGGTTTACTGCCCACCCAACGGACTACCTGAAACTATAGATGTATGTGCATGAGATGTCTAGGATAGGTTGCTGTATACATTTGAAGAATTGCTTTTCCTCTGGTAATATCTCATTCATCCTACACCCCATTTATCAAGCCAATTTGTAAATATTTGTGTCTCCGTGCATGGATGTGGCATCAAAGCAAAAGGAAACATTTAGAAGCATCTTGGAGCACAAAGGATGTAAATATCCACTTATTTTCCTGGAATTACAATCTACACTCTAAAGAGCTCTTTCTATCTCTTGGTTACAGGTCATACATGTTCAATAAGATACCAGCCTCTGAGTCAAAGTCATGGAAAATCAAAGCCAAGTGACTGAGTTCATTCTCCTGGGACTTATCCAAAATCCAGGTGTTCAGAAAATTATATTGATTGTGTTTTTGTTATTCTATCTTGCAACCCTTGGGGGAAACCTGTTTATTATGGTGACCATTACTAGCAGCCCCTCACTCTTTGCTTCCCCTATGTACTTCTTCCTGGCCTTTCTGTCTTTCTTAGATGCATGTTTTTCATCAGTCATTGTACCCAAGCTAATAGTAGACTCTTTTTTGAGAAGAAAACCATCTCCTTTGAAGGCTGCATGACTCAGGTTTTTGCAGAACATTTTTTTGGTGCTGCTGAAGTGATTGTTCTCACAGCGATGGCCTATGACCGGTACGTGGCCATCTGTAAACCTTTACACTATGTGACCATCATGAGTAGGCGTATGTGTTTATTACTTGCAGGCGTGGCCTGGGCAGGAGGATTCCTGCACTCTATCACCCAAATGTTCTTCATTTTACCATTACCATTCTGTGGCTCCAATGTAATCAATCATTTCATGTGTGACTTGTACCCTTTGCTGGAACTGGCCTGTACTGATACACATGACCTGGGTTTTATGGTGATAGCCAATAGTGGGTTCATTTGTATTTTAATTTTTTTCCTCTTACTTGTCTCTTACGGGTCATCCTGTATACCCTGAGGACATACAGCACAGAAGGACGAAGGAAAGCCCTCTCCACTTGTAGTTCCCATATCACAGTTGTGCTTATGTTATTCATTCCTTGCATATTTGAGTATGCAAGGCCTCTCACCACTTTCTCCTTCGATAAGATGGTAGAAATATTTTACACTATTCTGACACCTTTTTTAAACCCCTTCATCTATACCTTTAGAAATATGGAGGTAAAAAATGCCATGAGGCAATTGTATTGTAGTAAAGTATTTTTTATTAAAAAATAAATTCTTGAAATAAAATCATTTTTCAAAAAGCATTAACAATGACAAAGAATACTCTATTTTATAGTTTCATACCAAGCTCACATGTATATATACACACATATAAAGATATTAATGTATATTATGTGCTTTGTACAAGTGTATATCTATCTATGTACATACATATGTGTGATTATATTATGCATGTGTTTGTAAATTGCTCAGTGGAATTGAATGTGGATGGTGAAGGGATAAGGAAAAATGCCATTGGGCATCCATATCTGTGTCTATGCATGCTGAGTACATGTATATATGTACCTAGTCCCTTCCTACCTTTCTAGTCTTCTTACAGGTTACTTACCTTTATTTACTCTTCAATCAAGTCACACTGGCTTGGATATTCCATCAACAGGATGCTCCATCTCCTGACTCCAGGAATTTTCTCTGGCTGTCCACCATGTTTGGAGTGCTCTCCTCCTCATTTCCACCCACAGGTTTCCCTGGCTTCCTTGAAGTCCCAAATACAATCCCATCTTCTACAGGAAACCTTTTCCAAACTTTCTCAATTCTAATTCTTTCCTTCTTTTTATTGCTGCTTTTTTATCTCTTGTACAACTTTTTCATACACTTTCCTTTGCTTGTTGTCTCCTCCATTAGACTGTAAGATACTTGAGGACGGTCATTGTTATTCAGTCATTTTTCACTTGTGTCTGACTCTTCATGACCCTATTTTGGGTTTCTCTTGGGAAAGATACTAAAATGTTTTGCTGTTTTGTGCTCTAGCTCTTCTTATTTTTTGATTGGGCAATGGTGTTATGTGATTGCCCAGGGTCACTTAGCTAGTAAGTGTCTAAGGCCGGATTTAAACTCAGATCCTTCTAAATCCAGGGCTGCTGCTCTATCCACTGCACCTGCTAGCTACCCTCTAGCTTATTTTATAAATGAGGAAGTGAGGCAAAAGAAGTTAAGTGTCTTGCCCAGGGTCACAAAGCCAGTAAGTGTCTGAGGCCAGATTTGAACTCATGAAGGTTAGTCTTTGTGACTCCTGGCCTGGCCCTGTATCTACTGTGCCACCTAGCTTCCCCCTCCTTCAGAACAGGAGCTATCCTTTGCCTCCTTTTATGTCAAGCTTTTATCACAATACCAGAAAGATTACCACATTTGTATGTATTTTGAAATGAAAGTGTTTGGAAATGAATGTTGTAATAGAGGAAATATATGACTAAAGAAACTCTGTCTTTTTTGATCTACAGAAATATTTGAGTTACCTCAGGGATAATCATATTTGTGCAGTATGTTGTAACTCCCAAGGGAAAGAGAAAAATAATTATCAAAGAAAAACATTGACCACATCACCCTTTAGCCAAGGGCTAAATAGGCCAGGCTTAATCGATCAGGGGCTTTGGCTTTTGCTGAAATATGTGATTTGCCTGTGTAGACAATTTTCTCATTTCATGAGTCTTGGAGAGCAAGAGGCCTTTCCTCCAGTTCCTGACTTTGATAACATTGCAAACAACTCTCTGATTGACTTCAAGATTATTTTTTTTACTCAAATAATCCTTATGGAAGTACAGCTTGGGAATAGGCAGATGAAACCTCAGAGTTGCTGCCAAAAAATAGGGGAAATTCATCCCCTTTCATTATGAAGTTTTGAAAACATGAAAGTGTGTATTCCTATGTCATGTGTAGACAATGAAAATAACTCCTTGGAGAGTTTATCCTGAGGCTTCTAAGAAGGGATCTTTTAAGGACTATATTGAAGTAATCCTTATCACTCCATATTTTTTAAACATAGTAGTTAGTCTCATCAGAGGGACAATTGACATAATGTGTTCTTAGACAGCCTTCCAAAATTTCTCTGCGAAGCACGTATAAATTGGGGTGGTGAAATTTTCTTGTGTGTGATGTGGTAGGAATGATCATTCCCATCTAAGTTGTCCAATGTAGTGTTTTTCTGCTTTTTTAATATATCTCAACCTTCATCACATATGACATGACTGACCTCAGTGTCTATGTCCTTATGTAGCTTAGACTGTGGAGAATCTTCCTTGATCTTAAGTTATGGGACGTAAAGCAGAATGGAAATGTTGTCTAAACGGAAACTTTTCCAGACCCAATATATCTTAAACATTAGGGAAATCAGTATTCCACAATATATAATTGAGTTAGAATAGTACAGAAAAGTCTTATAATCCATAGAATAGCTAATTTGTGTGATTTGCTCTCCACATGACCACTTTCCTGGATTCTGAAAAATCTGTAGGGATGCACCATGGAAAAAGGAAAAGGGAAATCTTGTGAGACTGAATTAAATGTTTGTTGATTAAGACTCTGTATATTCTTTGATTGTCAGTAATTCTTACACTTGTGGCTCCTGCCTTATGGGGTGGGAGGCAGAATGAGAAAAGCAATAGGATTCCTTTGTGAAATGATGAAATACTCCTTCACCTTGAGAATTTCCTCCTGGTCCCTCTCCTCCCAACTGTCCCTCAGTCTTTCCAGATACTCCTGTAGCTATTATTCCCTTTACCCAGGGTATCTAGCTATGTATAGATTCTACTCCCTTTACTCTTGGGCTTTTAATGCATTCATGCTGTTCCCTTCTCTCCTCTCTTTCAAAGGATAGTTTAGATCTGGGATGGGGAACCTGCAGCCTTGAGACCACATGTGACCTTCTTAATCCTTGGGGATGGCCTTTCAATTAAGTCCAAGTTTAACAGACACATCCTTTTTTTGAAGGGATTTGTTCTGTGAAGTTTAGATTCAATCAAAGGGCTACATCCAAGGACCTAGAAGGCCATATGTGTGTCCTTGAGGTGGCAAATTCCCCACACCTGGTTAGACATTGAGCATCTAACTTTGCTGGGTAAAAGATCTTTTGAAATCATCATCATTGTTATCATTATCAATAATTTAAATTGAATTTAAAATTTGCAAAGTGATTAACATATTATTTCCCTCAATCTTCTCAACAAACCTGTGAGAATTTTTTTGGGGGGCTAGGCAATGGGGTTAAGTGACTTACCCAAGATCACACAGCTAGTAATTGTGAAGTGTCTGAGATCAGATTTGAACTCAGGTCCTCCTGACTCCAGGGCCAGTGCTCTATACACTGTGACACCTAGCTGTCCCTTGAGAATTTTTTTAAACAGATGACAAAACCAAAGCTGAAAGAAAGCTAGTGACTTGCTTAGGGTCAGTCAGTTAATAAGTTTCTGAAGTAAGACGGGAACTCAGGTCTTTCTGACTCTAACTTGTATATTCTACCCAGTAGATTAAGCTATCCTGTAGATAAATAACGAGATAGAAGTTGAAATGGAAGATTGATGCAAATATGGAGCAAAACAAGTGACAGAGTAAGGGTATTAGACCCTACATGGTCATCAGTGATAGTTACTATTACTTTTCCATCACAGTTCACCAACAAACATTTGATTTGTTACAGGTAGATACATGACTGATATAGAAGTTTAGGCAGGTTTAGCAGACAACAAAGATAAAATTGATCCCAACTCCTTGAATTCAAACTTTACATTAATGTCTGATATTCATTTAGTACTTTAAAACTTAAAAGTTCTGAGAGAGTGTGGATATGAAACTAATTGATTTTATATGCCTTATTGTTACAAAGCCAACAAAGCTAAGATATTGGATATACGCACCCACACATATTCTTGGTTACAGGTACAGTATTTTATTCAGATTCTGTTGTTTCTTACAAAATTCAGTCAAATCACTCTCTGTGTATGTTTTAAAAAAAATCTTTTGTCTTTCTAATTTGATTTAAACACAATTTTATTAGGTAGGTCATACAGTTACTAATAATTCAGATTTTTGATTCATGAATGAGATTTGAAGCAAAGAGGCTTACTAGGAGAAGATTGCAATAGCATAGGTGCAGGTGATGAGGACTGTCATAGGGTAGTGACTGTGTGAATGAATAAGCAATCAGGAATGAATTTGGGTAGTGGTGATATGAATGGAGAGAAGGGATTGCATCAAAGAGGAGTTGCGACCATAAAAACAAATAAGGGTCAGCTTAATGTATAGAATCAAGTCACTTCCCATACACCAATTAAATTAAGTGATGAGATTACATAGTGAGTTTCCTGAGGGCAGGGTCTGTTTCATTGGCCCCTTTTTATATCTTGAGAATTTAGCACAGTGCCTAGCACATAGTCAGGACTTAACAAATATTTACTAATGAGAGAAGAAAGGGGAGGAAGAGGAAGGAGGAGGAGGAGGAGGAGGAGAAGAAGAATATAGATAAATATGGTAATACAGATGTTATGATCAAGGAATAATTTCCTTCTGTATGATTTTCCATATTCTCCCATTTCAATGCATTTCCACAGTTGATTCCTATGCTTTGAAAACACTCTATCCTAACTTTATCACAATGAATTCCTATATACCTTCTGGTAAGAACTGCCCAGTTGTTAGTGTGTTTACCTCTCAAAATAATTTGTATTCTTATTTATATTTTGTATTTATTTAATCAAAAATATTAGATTTCCTATCCATAATGTAAGCTCTTTGAGGTCAGGGGTGGCTTCCTAAAATGCCTTACACACACACACACACACACACACACGTATATGTATGTGTTTATATGTATGTCTTGCACGAGGCCACACAACTATTTGGTATATGTATATGTATGTATATATATATAATCAATATGTGTAATTTCAACAGTATAGTCAACTACCACCACAAAAACCAATTTAAGTAATGCTTACTAACAATTTGCCTGTAAAGCAAAATTCACTACCCTCCTGAATAGGTATTTGATAGCTCTAATTGCTAGGAAGTATTTCCTTGGGGAAAGTTATATCACAAGTCCCTCATGTTTTACTTCAAACATTTTAAAAATGCCTGCTGGTAAGGCTGGAAAGGCATCCCTCCAGATTTAGTGAGGGGTGTGATTTCAAAAGACATAATTCAGTTTGGCTTCTAATAAGTCAGTAAGAAAAAAAATAGTCTTTGCTATTTTTCAGAAAGTAAAGATAGCGGTTACACAA